CCCATCCATGTCTCTTGGCCACTCTGTCCTTCATCTGATAATTAACCATAACATGGCAATGCAGCAGGTGGAAATACTGTTGTATTTATTACATTAAAGCTAGTATTTTTACCTTACATTTTCTTAACAAGATGATTTTAATGCATATATATCTTCATTTGCTCTGCTGTCTCAAACGTTGAAATTCAATTGCCTTTTAGCTCAGGCCTTGCTTTCCCCTTCATGGTGCATTGGGCATCCTTCGATCCACCGTGTCTTCAAGAGAAAGTCCCTGTGCTAGACACCGGTGACAGTGTAGCTGTGCAGAGAGAAAGCCCCGCGCACTGCTGTGCTGCCTGCGATTGGGAGAGGAAGTGGGGAAGACAGTGGTGGGCCGTGGGGCGGTGGAGGTAGAGAAGGACCTGGAACAGCAGTTGGCTTGGGGAGGCCAGCCAGACGTGGATGGGTTTCCACGGGAGCGAGCCAGGGGCTCCCGGGCCTTGGCGGGCCCGCCGTTCACATACTCACCCGGTTTCCGGCTCTTCAGTGTTTTTTAGTTTTGTTTTCAGGGTCTTTTTTTCTTTTTGGTTTCCTGTTTAAAGGTTTGAATTATTTCACCTTTGGTACATTTTAGAGAACAGAAAAAAAAAATCTAAGTAGAATTCTACCACAAAAAACAGTGGCTTTTTTTTAATTTCTAGTTAGTGGTCTCATCTGCCATATATAGCCCGAGGGAATCACAGATCAGATTTTAGTTTCCAATAGCCATGTTGTTGATGTCAGGAGCTTCTGGGGTAATTATGCAAAGATATCTTCAGTGTTACGTCTGGTAGTGTGGATTGGGGTCTCTGGGTTCGTTTGGGTGCTGATGACTGGGGACGTGAGTAAGACTGAGTTAATCCACTTGCTAAAATAATAGAAACGCACGGCGCTTGGTGCTTTACCGAGAACCTCACTCAGCCACCACCCAAGTGACCCAGTCCAAAGTATTAAAAAAGAAATTTCAGTTTTTGTCACTTGATGAACATTAAAGAGGGTCAAATCCTTAATTCCTGGCAATTGCTTCTGTTTATTTTGTCTTCTCGTAACCCTCACTTTCCGGAGACTCTCTCTCTATGGCCCAAACCTCCCACCACCTACACTCTTTTTGCTTCTTGCCCATGTTCTGGCTTCTCTTTTCATTATGTTGAATGGTTGAATTCCTCGTGGGGGAACCTTCTTTTCCTTCCTAGCAGTCCAGTCAGCACCCCATGAGACCAGTTCCCTGCAAGGCAGGGGCTTCCCCAGTGCAGGGGGAGGGGAGGGTGGGCAGACCATCGCCGAATCCTCCTTGGCAGGCTGGCAGCAGGGGGACCCTGGTGAAGACTCCGACACGGAAAATTTGATTCACTCTCAGCGGTGCTTGGGGAAGTGAGATTGACTCACAGGATTATCAAAGTTGTGATCATGACAGTGTTTTGCTAGGCCCCTAATTTATGGTGTTCTCTGTGTGCTTTTTTAAAAGTTTTTTTTCTTTTAAAGATTTATTTTAGAGAGGGAAAAGGAGGGGGAAGGAGAGGGTGAGAAACATCAGTGTGTGGTTGCCTGTCACGCGACCCCCACTGGGGACCTGGCTTGCAACCCAGGCATGTGCCCTGACTGGGAATCAAACCGATGACCCTTTGGTTCGCAGGCCAGCACTGAATCCACTGAACCACACCAGCCAGGGCTCTGTTTGCTTTTTATGAGTTGTCATCCAGTTATTGACACATGCAGGAAAAAATTTTTTTAATTCTCTTTTTAAAGGCTTCATTCTACACCCACTCTAGCAACACTGGTTTAAAGATTTCCTCAGCTACTTAATTCAAAGGCAGGATAGCCTAGTGGTGAGACGCGCAGCTTCTGGCATCACATCATCCTGTTTTTGAATTCTGGCTGGACCACTGGTCTGATCTCTGTCCCTCACCATTTTCTCATGAAAAAAAATTAGGGTGATTAGAGTAATAGCAATAAAAGTAATTATGACCACTTATTGGGTGCTTACAGCACACCCGGCGGCCCCCTTGGCGTTTTCCCGTTATACCCTCCAACCACACAGCAGCTGCGAGAGGCAGACCCCACCAGGACAGCACCGTCACATACCGTCCCATCTCCAGGTTAGGAAACAAGCCGTGGAGGCGAAGGCCCTCGCCCAGTGTAGGTGCAGCCGGGATGGGACCCACACCCTGGAGCTCCGGAGCTAGTGAGATAATCCCTGGGAAACTCAGCACAGGGGCTGGCACATGGCAAAACTCCAGCTGTAGCTGTTTCAATGGTCAATGAAGCCATACCTTTTCCTACTAAAACATTGTACAGTACTTCTTCTCCTTTGACTAAGAAGCCCTGTCCTGATAACATCATCTGTGGGCCCCTCGGGATTGGCTGTGATTTGTGGTTGGTGCACCTGCCAGGAAGGGGCTCTTGTGTCAGGTCCGTGAGATCCGGGAGTTCAGGCTTCCGTTCTGGGCTTGCCTGGAAAGGGCGTACTGAGCCTCATGTGGTTTTTTTCCTGGTAAGTTGATACTGTCACCCTTTCTTGGGCTGTGGGCAGGGTTTCATTTTGAGGATAAGGGCAGCAGGCTGGGGAAGTGTGTGTGTGTGTGTGTGTGTGTGTGTGTGCCGGAGCCGGGAGACCCGTGGTCTGCAGGGGGTCCTCCCTGTGCAGCCGCAGAGAAGGCCTTATACCTAGGACAAGGCCCTCGTTTGGGGTCTCAAATCAAATGCCCTAGTGGCCAGATGTGGACTTAGAGGAATGCAGCGGATCGGAGGGAGTCTGTGACCAGTGAGAGCAGCGCCCCACCAAGGGCGGCAGCCAGGCCCCAGTGTAGAGACCGAGGGCCCCCAAGTTCACATACAGATGAGCTCCACCCAGTGGGAAGCACACGGATGCTCTGAAAGGCTCTTCACAAAGGAAGAAATGAGAGCCTGTTGCTCAGAATTGCAGGCTACAGTGAGTTCGTAACTGGTGTGGGATTCAGGGAAACGCGCTCCAACACCCAGTGGGAGTGTCAGTGGCAGTGTTGTTTCCGAAGGCACCGCGTCAACATCTGTCAGCACTAAAAATGTGCGAACCCTTTGGCCCAGGGTATCCTCTTGCTGAAATTATCCTAAGAGCCGCCATGAGGCACAAGGACTGGTGGAGGAGAATGGTTGTCTCAGCCATGCTCATAAGTAGAAAGTGGAAGCAAGCAATGCTTAGTAATGAGGCAGTGGTTACGGCGGCGATGGTCTGCCTTTGTACTGCAGTGTTACAGTACGAAGTGCTGTAGCAGTCCTCAGAGAGAACAGTGTGGATCTACATGTCGTGATGTGGAAAGATGTCCAACTTATAACCTGATGCAACATCAGTGTGAAGTGACGACACAGACTGGACTATTGTGTGCAGTTTTGCATGTTTCTAGAAAATGTCTGTGACCACAATAGGAGAAATCATGTATCATAGACCATATTCTAGTTCTCCCATGACTTCAAGGACTTACTAAAAATATGTGCATATACAAGAATTTTCAAAGTTGGGAAATCAGACTGAATTAACAAGATCTAAATTACAGGCGTAAAGGCAGTGTGGCTCTACGTCTTTAAACAATTTATAAAAAGTATTACTAAAGTGCTGGGTGGGAGTAAGTCTATAATAAATAGCTAATCCTAAACAGTAAACACCTTTGTTTGAAAATGTCTTTTTAAGTAATGACATAAAAAATAGGCATTTTAGTTGCTGGTAACTTTTTCATTTCTTTATCTCCTGGTAAATTTTTTATTGAGAGTGTAAATACACATCAAAGATGATAAAAATGCTGTGCATGAAAGTATTTTTCTCTTTCAAAAAAATACTAAAAGTATAGATTCCAAACAGATGAGGCTTTCACTATATTAGTTATTGGGAGTTTACTAAACCTGGTTCTGGGGAGGACGCTGCTTCACAGTGAGTCCAGAAGTCCTCTTCCTCATTTGTGCCTCAGCATTGTTACACACCCAAACGGAGTACCATTAGGAATCTCCTGCCTTAGTGAAATATCATGAGCACCCAGTTTGAGCTTCTCAGGCCCGATGACTTTCCCCCCTGTTGAGCTGGGAATGGGAGTGGGCACCACACGCAGCACGTCCACCTCCATCTCTGACTGTTCTTTTACGGGGCCACTTGCTGGGAATGATGTCTGTGTGCCTGCTGTTTGGGTTGCTGGCTCTGTGTGGTGAGGGATGCCCTGTGTTATAGCCTGTGTGTGAAGATCAAAACTATGAACAGGAAAATGACAACAAACTCACAATTATCAACAACGGAACCTAAAAAAAAAGAAACTATGCAAACAACTAGAACAGGAACAGAATCACAGAAATGGAGACCACATGGAGGGCTATCAGTGGGCAGGTGGAAGGGGGAGAATGGGGGGAAAGGTTTACGGAATAAGAAGCATAATTGGTAGTCACAAAATAGAGGGAGGTTAGGAATAGTACAGGAAATGGAGAAGCCAAAGAACATGTATGTATGAGCCATGGATGTGAACTAAGGAATATACTTAAAAAAAAAAAAAGTGGGCAGAAGTGGGCAGGGTGGCATCGTTTCTGGATTCAGCAGATATCCAGCACAGGGCATGGCGCTAGTTCCCAAATCATTTCATTCTGTTTCCCCAGCAAGGTCATGTTTTACCCATTTCACGGCTGAGACAAGTCAGGGTAAGAGAAGGTGGGCTTCCCACAGGCACACAGCTAGGTGAGTAGGAGAAGCAGGCTTTGAGTTCAGGTTGGAGGGACTGAAGCCTACCTTCTTCATATTCACTCTTCCTCTTGGATTTTGGGGACAAAGATATTCTTATGTATGACCCTGATTATAGGGGAACTAGGCATTTCTTTAATTTTCAGATTGCATTTTCGAATGCTTTAAATATGTGTATGTAAATCAACCATAGACACTTTGCAGATAAAATTATCCATTGTATCTTTTTCCCTCTTAAACGAAGCAGACTTGTGTAACTGTGACGTGATTTTTTTCAATTAAATTTTTATAGGAAACGAGCACGTTCCCTCCTGGACACTAGTCACCAGCCAAGCCTTGGGTACCGCGTGGGGAATAGCAAAGGGCTCTGTGATGCTGGCGGTTTCGTTGCTGCTGGCCACCCTCTGCTACTTCCGGAGGCTGAATTTACGTCTAGGGCACCGGCTGAAATGGTAGGCGGCCGCAGCATCTTCAGATTTCTAAAGTATTCTTGTTATGAAGGTAGTATTTTTGCTATTATTTTCTTTTTCTTTCAGGTGGAGTGGGTATCTGCAAAGAAAATTTAAAAGTAAGTATTTTTATGTGCATCTGTCCTTATTTTTAAGATGCAGAGAGGATTCAGGAAGGAAGAGGAAAGGGAAAATTAACTACCTTTTTTTTTTTTTTTTGATTCAGGGAACCTCAGTGTGGAGGCGGAAGTCGACTTACTCAGCTATTGTGCAAGAGAGTGGAAAGGAGATACGCCCCGTGCCAAGCTGATGAGGAAGGTTTGTTTGTGAAGGTCATGGAAGATGGAGAATTTGTATGTAAACAAACATTCCACTCAGCTTTATGGGCCCAGAGACTAACTGAAACTGGATGTGACATAAGGGACAACTGTGGCTGTAATTGAAAAGCCAAACAGCTGCTCGACATTGGCTTTGGGCCTTTTGCCCAGAGCCAGTGCCTTCAACAACTGAGCCGAAATTCAGTCTGTGAGTTTGGAAAACTGGAAATCGACTCCTTTCAGCTCTCTCCTGGCCAGGCCTCTGCACATGGAGGGGAGACTTCTGTCCTTGAAGGGCTTTCTCCCGTTGACAAAAATATTTTGAGGGTTTTTAGAGCTTTCCATTGCATAAGTCTTGGTAAATATTCCCAGCAGTGCTGCCCAGACTTGTCACTAGCAAAGGAAAAAGAAAAAGGTGGTACATTTAAACTAGTCCTTAGCGTGGTTTTTTTTTTTTTTTTTAAATATTTATTTATCTTCAGAGGGAAAGGAGAGAGGGAGAGAATTAGGTGGGTTTTGAAGTGTACAGTATTTCCCACTGTGACCGTGCCTTTCCGTTACCCCCCCACAGTGACATTCCCTGGCCCTGGGCTCCAGGAACTTACCATCTAGAGTAGCACGGGACCCTCACCTCTCCACGCCCACAATGACATGAAATGACATGTGGTCCAATTCATAAGTCAGAATTGTTTTATTTCTGTTGTCTGCTTTGTTTAGGAGTGTGCCTCACTGACAGTACATTGAAATCACTTTCCTTATTTCTTATCCAATAGGATTTAAAAAAAGCTTTCTGTCTTTGTGCTAAATAGGCTTACGAGGAGCTGTTCTGGCGGCGTCACATTAAATGTGTTCGACAAGTAAAGAGAGATAACTACGATGCACTAAGATCTGTGTTATTCCAGATATTCAGCCAGGGCCTTTCTTTTCCATCCTGGATGAAGGAGAAAGACATTGTTAAGGTATGTCCGCACACCGGAAACACTTGCGAGTCTCCTTGGTGACAACAGTAACCCCTCTGCACTGGGTCTGCCGTGGGCAGCTTTGTATGCAGGGTCCTGAGACTGGACTCTGAGAGCACCGCCGACCAGGCCCTCTGACCCCCACGTCGGGTTGCCAACAGACTGTCTCAGAAAGATAGACCCAGGTTTAATGCCATCGTCTTTAATGCCCTCTGCCCTTTGCAGGTAAGGCAGTCTACTGCAATTCACGTTTGTACCCTATAGTTATTTAAGTTTGGACAAACACAGTGTGTACCTGCTGCCCCAAACACCCCCTTGTTTCCCGTCACAGTCAGTTCTTCTCTCACCACCATCTCCTGGTAACCACCGATAGGTCTTACATTCCTGCAGTGTTGCGTTTTCCAGAATGTTGTATAAATGGAACCATCCGGAGTGTAGCCTTTTGAAGTGAGGTCTTTCCCTTGGCATAATGAATTTGCACTTCATCCAGATGGTCCATGAATATGCTGTTCAGTCCTTTTTATTGTTGAATGGTGTTCCTTGACAGGAATGTGACAGTTAATACTATGAATGAAGCTGTTATAAATATTCCCATGCAGGATTTTATGTGCACATAAGTTTTCACTCCTTTCTGGTGGGATTGCTGGGTCTTATGGTAGGTGTATGCTTATTTTATATGAACCTGCCAACCCATTTTCCAAATGTCTGTACCACAATGCATTCATGCCACAAATGTGACAGAGTTTCAGTTGCTCCACATTCTCACCGGCACCTGGGATCGTCAGGGTTTTTTGTTCATTTATTTTCACCTTTGTTTTTGTTTCAGCCATTCTGATAGGTGTGCATTAGTATCACTGTGCTTCTAGTTTGCATTCCTCTGTTGAATTACGATGTTGAGCATCCCTTCCTCTGCTTATTTGCCATTCTTATGTTCTTTTTGGAGAAGTGTCTGTTCAAATCTTTTCCCATATTTTTATTGTCTTGTTTTTGTTATTGACTGAGTTTTGTGAATTCTTTATATATTTTGAATGCAAGTGCTTTATCGTATATGTGATTTACAGATATTTTCCTTGTTTTTCATTTTCTTAACAGTGTGAACCAATCCATTCTTGGTGCTAACCTGAATTTTTGCTTTGAATGCAGTATGCCTAATGTAAGATGCACGTTTAAGTTGGAGGAGCAAAGAAAGATAAAGTGTATGCTTACGTAGATAGCTACACAAGTTCCATTTCCTTATCCTTTTTAATTTAGAGGTGTTTTTATTTTATTTTATCTTACAAATACTTGTCACGTGTATTCAGTGTGCCAGCCCAGCTGCTCATGGCTGAGGACAGGGACCACCCCTGGGACCCTGGGTTGCACATGATGAATCTGGTGGGAAATGCATTGGATGCCTGTGATGGACCAGGTTCTTACGTACACTGACTGTAGTCTTATTCAACCCCAACCCGAGTCCTATAAAATTGTCCTTGATTTACAGTGGAGGGTGCAGCTGAGCCGTTAAATAATCTGCTGGCTGAGTAACTTGCCAGCAGATGATTTACACACTGGGTTTGCACCCTAACAAGCCCCATTGCAAAACCCACCTGTTCTCAGATGTGCTGTGTTGCTCTCACATTGTCTGGTTAAAAATAATTTCTAAAGGGATATATCTAGGTAGTTTGGGAAATGTTGTATCCCAAAAGATTGTTTCTATAGACTTAATCTTATATTTAAGTTGTCATCAGTTGTGAAATTGTGAATTAAGAGTATGATCCAAATCATAGAATCCAGAAGTCTAAAAGAAAATTACTATATGATTTTCCCTTTACTGTGGTTATAGTCTTTTTAAAGGAAGATTGGCCCTGGTTGGTGTCCATCAGTGGATTGGGTACTGGCCTGTAAAGCTAAAGGGTTGCTGGTTCGATTCCCAGTCAGGGCACATGCCTGGGTTGCAGGCCAGGTTCCTGGTGGGGGCCATGCGAGAGGCAACCACACATTGGTTTTTCTCTCCCTCTCTTTCTCCCTCTCTTCCCTGCTGTCTAAGAATAAATAAATTAAATATTTTAAAATAATTTTAAGAATAAATGAAGATTGCTAAATGAGGTGAGATCATGTGCCCTGACACAGTCCCAACTGTGTGTAATAAACGCTGAGACACTAATCACTGTCGGCATCTTCTTTTTCAAGCTTCCCGAGAAACTGCTCTTTTCACAAGGTTGTAATTGGATCCAGCAGTACAGTTTTGGTCCTGAGAAGTACACAGGCTCAAATGTGTTTGGAAAATTGCGTAAATGTGTGGAATTATTGAAAACACAGGTGAGAGTTAGCGGCCGGGGTGGGGGGCTGGGAATGACAGCACCAGTCCCACACGTCGCCACTTTTCTCCAGTGTCAGGCCCGTCCCTCTGTCAGTTACGTCGGAAATGCAGGCAGAATCGCTGCTTCAAGTCACAGATTGCTTCCCCTTGATCTTCATTCTCCCTCAAGCGATGAATCAGAGCAGTGTTGTTCCACATGATACGCTAGTTCAGCCCTTTGCAGACTGAGAGGCCCCTTGCGGGCTGGCCTGGAAACCTTAACAAGCACGTACCTTTGTTTCCCCAGAGAAATGGGGTGCAAGTTCCAGACAAGGCACTCAGAAATGCCCTTCTGGAATGCACCCTGTTAATAACTTGGCAACTGCAGAGATGTTATAATTTGACTCAGAGCAGAGTTTTTCCTGTCTTTTAATAAAAACAGATTTTGCATTGTTGGCATGAATCCTCCTGGGGAAGCACCATAACCTTTCTGGGCCATAGTTTTCTTGTCTGTGAGGCTGACCTGTCCACAGTGTGGGTCCTGCATGGTTCCTGGGAGGACTCACTGAAATAATACATGGACAGCACACCTTACCCTGTGCCTGGCACCCGGCAGGTGTTCTGGAAGGTGGGCTGGCGCAGCTGGGGCTGCAGCGGCCGTGCACCCAGCCAGCTTCAGCAGTGCTAGGAAACCGACCCGCTCAAGTGTTTCACCTGGCGAGGGGTGCTTTTGTGAGGAAATATTTTATTGAAGCTAGTTTGTTATTGTAAAAGCAATATATACTTATGTTTTTAAAAATCCATGTCAAAAGATATAAAATAAAAAGTGAAAGTTCTGTTTTCCTCTATGAACCTTTGTTTTATTGTATAAGCATTCTATGTACTTTAACAGTTATGCAGCGGTATACGTATTCATCCCTTCCAAATTTCACTATGACATCTGTGTTTTTAGTGGACCGAATTCAGTGGGATTAAAGATTATCACAAGAGAGGAAGTATGTGCAACATCCTTTTCTCTGATGCCATTTTGGAATACAAACTGTACGAAGCTTTAAAGTTCATCATGCTGTATCAAGTCACTGAAGTTTATGAACAAATGAAGATGAAAAAGGTCATTCCCAGTCTTTTCAGACTCCTGTTTTCCCGGGAAACATCCTCTGACCCTTTGAGCTTCATGATGAATCACCTGAACTCTGTAGGTGACACCTGTGGACTAGAGCAGGTACGAGGGGCAGAAGGATCGTGCGTGTTTGATCGAGGATTGGAGCGGCAGTACTGGGACATGCAGGGTTGGGGTTTGCTTTCCGAAGTGGTAAGGCTTGCCGCACAGAGTGGTGGGTTGGTGTTACCGCCCCTGGAATGCAGAAGAGAAGAGTAATAGCCTCACTGCTCTGAGCTGGCTGCTGTGTGTCTTTCCAGCCCTGTGGAGGAAGGATGTCCTTGCTGGGTTGTCTCTCTGGCCTTGCGCACTGCTTCTCAGTTGATGATGGGTGCTCCCCCAGCAGAGGTTAACCGGGAGAAATTCCAGTTGGAAAATGAGAGAAGGTTTGGGAAAGCATTTTGTTAGTCACTGCAGCTAAATAGAAATTATTGCATTTTTTTAAACCTAGAAAATGCTTTTATGTCCCCGTAGAGAAGGGTTTTTGTTTTGTTCTGTTTTGCTTTCCTAGGAGGAACACAAAGTCATCTTAACTTTTTACATTGATTTAAAGTGATATAAAACTGGTTGGAAAACAGTGTAGTTTTTTAAATTAAAAACATTTTGTTTGTCCTCACCTGAGGACGTGCTCACTGATTTTAGAGACGGGGGGAAGAAGGAGAGAGACATTGATCGTGCCCCACAGGGAGCCGAACCTACAACCTAGGTATGTGCCCTGACCAGAAATCAAACCCGTGACATTTCGGTTTATAGGACTCCAACAAGCTGAGCCACACCAACCAGAGCGGAAAACAGTGTACTTTTTATTATAAGCATTCCATTATTTTTTTATTAGTTTTCTTCCAAATAGCTTTCCCTGTGATTCCTTCAGTCCAGTCTTGAGAGATGCTCCTGCGCTTGTCCCCTGCCTGCCATGGCATGCGCCTTTGTTCCCAGCCCAGGCCCACTCAGTGGGTCACGTTCGGGTCTGCAGAGAAGTGCATTACTTCACAAGCTGCCGAAGAACATGCTTTCCCCGCTGGTGGGAGGGCAGGAGTTTGAAATGTGTGTCGTGACCTCTCTTTCATCTCTTTCCCAGATTGATATGTTTATACTTGGATATGCACTTGAAGTCAAGATAAAAGTGTTCAGACTGTTCAAGTTTAACTCCAGGGACTTTGAAGTCTGCTACCCAGAGGAGCCACTCAGGGAGTGGCCTGAGATCTCCCTGCTGACCGAGAATGACCGCCATTACCACGTTCCCGTTTTTTAAGTCTGGCATGGACCGGGTACCCGCCAGTGACAGTGGTCATGCTGGCAAGTACAGTGTTCCAGGAAAACCAGAGCTGCTGGTGTAGCCACTGGAGGAAGTGGGACCTTCTCCAGAATGACAGGGACACTGGACGCTGCTGTGCACACACGGCCCTTCTTTGTCTTCAGTGGCTTCCTCCAGAGCAGTTGCTCTAATGCATTTATGGGTTCATGGTTTGACCTCGTTCATAAGAGCTGTGAGCGCTCCACACATGGGGGCTTTTGAGAGCATGAGAACATTTAATCTGGACAAAAACAACAACAGGAAAACAAGGAGAAGACAAGTAAGAAAAAAGACTAACCTAGAAAGAATGAATTTGTGTCTAACTTTTATATTCTTCATTAAGAACTTGCCTTGGGTTGATTTTGGATCCTCCTAAACGCAGTCTTATTTTATAAGCATGACCTTTCCAGGAAACCTTATGGTGTCTTGACTTTTCTAGAACCACTTGATTAACCTATAACATTATTGGGGGGAGGGGCAGTGTGTGTACACATACACACGTACCCCAGTGTATACATGTATAGTTTTATATATACACATATAGACACATACACACAGATAACCACTACTTTGTAATGTACAGTTTGTTTTATATCTCTTTACATTTTTTGTTATTGCATCTGGCCAGCTTAATACATCTTCTATAGATAAAAAATGTAAATTCTGTAGATTGAGGCAAATGAATGACAATTATTGACCTGTCATGAAAAAATTAACCTGTGGTGTATTGACCCATGTATTTAATGTGTGATAGGTAGAGTCACACCTGCCTCCCCCTTGCCCAGAAATATGTTACGTCCTAATCCACAGAACCTGTGAGTATGTTGGGTTAAATGGCGAAGGAGAATCAAGTTGCAGGTAGAATTAAGGTACTAATCTGCTCACCTTGTTTTAGGGAGAGTATTCTGGGCTTTCCAGGTGAATCCAATGTAATCATAAGGGTCTGTGAAAGAGGAAGGGGGAAGTGGAAGTGTGTCTGGTCAGAGGGAAATGGGAAATCTGGAAGGACCGTAGAGGGGGATGCAACGTGCTGGTGTTGACAACGGAGGAAGGTGCCAGGAGCCGAGGAATGTGGGAGTGGCCTCTGGAAGTGGGAAGAGGCGAGGGAGGGGATTCTCACCCGGAGCTGCCAGGACGGAGCACGGCCCTACCAGTGCTGAGTCTAGCCCAGCGAGACCTGGGTCAGACCCCGGGGCCTCCAGGACTGAAAGATAGCAAATTCGTGTTAAGTCGCTAAGTTTGCGTAATGTGTTACAGCAATGATAGACAATACTCAGGTGAACTAATTTTTGGTTGTCTTTATTTTAGAAATACTTTTCTAGTTTATTTTGATAATCCTTATTTTGGAGGTACTTTATTAAATCTGTTGTGAATTTCAATAAATACAAAATAACTTTTAAGTTACAAATCCCTCCTAAGAAGTGGCTTCCTTAATGTGTTCAAGGCTGATGTTTTCTCACTTTTTTCATATAGTTTCTACTATAAATTAAAAAAAGATATGTTTTGCTGGCCAGTGTGGCTCAGTGGATTGAGTGCAGCCTGTGACCCAAGATGCTGCTGGTTTGATTCCCGGTCAGGTCACATGCCTGGGTGGCAGGTCAGGAGAGGTAGTCTGTTGATGTCTCTCTTGTGCATTGATGTTTCTCTCTTTCTCCTTCCCTCCCTCTCGAAAAAATAAATAAAATCATAACCAAAACCAGGTGTGTTAAGTGCTGTGGTGTATGAAAATAATATCCAGACTTTTTAATGGGGGTAATCACCTGTATACACTACGGAAGCCAGGTGTCCAATCGTGCATTGTATTATACCTGCTGTCATTTCGTTTTCTGGTTGGAGAGTAATGAGCTTAGACCAAGGGGCCTTGCATTACCTCAAGACCACGCAAAGAAAACAGGGGTTCTCAACTGACCTCTACTGTCCTGTTCTGCTTGGAAGTGCCTATGGCTTTGCACAACTCCATCATCTGATGGACACTGTTGGAAGTTATCCCCTTGATGCAGTACTGTGACCCAGAAAAGTGAGCTCGGCCCTTCGCTTCACAAGCAGACATGGTGAGAACCTGCAGCAGGCTGTGACTGATACTCCTAGAACTGCCGCTCCAGACTTCTGGGTCCAGTGCAGCTGTCTAGGTTCCTGCCTGGCTTTCGTGGGTCTCCACTCACCTTGCATCTCCTTACCCAGTGTAATGATTTCCACGTCAGTCTGAGGCTGAAAAGGAGAACTCTTCCACGGGGATCGGCAGCCTGTAGCTCTGATGGATCAGCCCATTCCGTGTACCCTTAACTGTGTGTTGGAGACAGGGCAGAGCGGGGCCCGGCTTCTTTAAATAGAGGGGCAAGGTCAAAACAGGACATTTTGATGCAATGAAAGGAAAAAGTAAAGAAGACCTTTAAGTGGTTGCTATTTTGAGGAAGGCATCAAAACAGACTTTAAGAGAGGAGGTATTGGGCATTGTGTTCCTTTTTTTAAAAAAATTAGTTGTATATTGAATGTAACAAACTAATTTGAAGGGACTCCGTATAAGTTAGCACCACTTTAAAATGCCAGCAGTGAATTGGAGGGGAATTGCCATGTGACGCCAACATTCAGTGTATTTATAACCGTACTTGTTTTCAGTGAGAAGAGAAATGTAGGGAAAATGAAAACATACGCTGTGGTTTTTTTTTTTCCTGATTTTAGAATGTTTCTCTCGAAATTTGGGCATGTGTCCATCCTGAGGAGTTACATGAATATCGGCACAGGACTGACTTTTCTTATTGCGGTAAAATACACTGCGTAAAACACAGCATCGTGACCATTTTTAAATACGCAGCCCGGTGGCACTAGGTGCCTGCGTGCTGCTGTGCGATCATCGCCACTGCCCACCCTCAGAGCTTTGTCCTCTGCGAGACCGACTTTTAACAGGAGGCAAGTTTAATCTCCCCGCCTGGTAACTGGGTTTTTTTTTTTTTTTTTTTTTACTTTTCACATCATCTTTATGTCATGCCCTTCTAATCTGAGTGTTTCTTTCCAGCTTAAACGACCCCCAGTGCAGATGTCTGATGTAAGGGAGGTTCAGGTCACCGAATGGATCCTGCAAATCAGGTTTCACTTCACCTGCAAAGTTAAGAAATAGCCACAGGTGCCTTCTGGCTTCGTCCTAGGGGCACACTCCAGGAAAGCGTCTTCCAGGAAACTGTGTCAGTTCAGGGCCACCGGGAGATTTGAATTTCTTGTCTGTGGACCTTCACAGCCTTGACCCCCCGGGCCTTCGCTAGTGCACGAGAGCCTTCGGCCAGCCCAGGGCAGGAGCACTCCCTCGGGGGCCTTCACGTCCATTTCCAAGGACTTCCCTGCAGATGAATGTTGGGCAGAAATATTTGTTATTGTCATATATCAGATGATTGCTCAGATTTTAGCGAGACCAGAGAAAGACCAGTTTAATTTTGTCTAAGCTGGTTGGTCTGGGGGAGGAAACTATTTAATTTTGAATTGAGTACTTTGGAAAATATTGGGAATTCCACTTAAAGAAGGTGAATCTTTTTAGGTCGATCTCTAACCTGATATGTGAAAACCTGTACAAATTTGAGAAAAGGATGACTAATTTGGTCATCTTAGTTTTAAACGGCAAGTTACTAAAGCTGTGTAATCTTTTTATAAGAATATGTTTCACATTGCTTAATGCTTGTTGCTGTGTAAAATTTTAAAATAAAATCTAAAGACTGTACCTTCAGGGATCATTTCTGTAGTTTGCTATTAAAATAAAATCTATAGTTTTATGGATCTAAAACTTCAACAGTCCATTGGGTTTCCTGTCACAAACTGAATGATGTTGCATTACCTAATTATTGGCTATATTCAGGTATACTTTTCTCTGTAGCTATTGTTTTGTCCAAATTGTATTTTTATCACAATGTTTTTATAGTCAGACACAAAATTAAGTGGATCCAAACTGTAGTCACTTCTATTTTATTTGTTCAAAATAGATGGGTCCGCCCCAAATTCACTTTAGCTCTAAGTGAAGGGTTTAGCTCTAACCCTGCCATACTCCTGCGGACCAAGAGCACAAACACTTGCGTGGATCACATGGATGCTCAGTGTCCACATGGTTCATGGCCAGCGGAGACAACACTCACCCACAGGTTCACAGCCCCCAGACCAAAGTGCTCCGCAGCGCAGCCAGAGCCGTGCCACGCGAATTCCTGTGGAGGTCACCGGATGTGTGTGAGGAGGCGAGAGCTGTGTGGCGAGCATGGTTCAGCCAGTGTGGACGAGGGGACTGTGCGTGATGTCAAATAACACTCTTGGTTTAAAAAACGATCTCTATATAATTGATCTCGGTCCTTATACTCAATGTCATCAGGTCTTAGATTGCTTTTTGAGTCATGTTAATGCCACCGGCATCACCTATTTTTAATAATAATTTGGAAAGTGTAGTCAAGAGAGTTTTCTAAAATTAAAAAAGGGTTTGCTTTACATATTGCTTAGTCTAGATGGGTTTTAAAAGGCTTTTTGAACAAGTAGTTTATTTAAACCAGGAATGTGTTCGAACAGGGAAGCATTCCTGAAATACAGAAATATTTTCCCACTGAAATAGCCTATTTGTAAACAAAGCGTATTTACTTGTTCCTAACTTGTAAAACTTCGGACAGCATATCTAGAAGGAACTAAACAGAGATCAGTAGTTGAAACCAAGTATCAGCAGAGCGTTTTACAACCTTGTTTTGCTCCCCCACATGTTAAAAAGGGTGGAACGAGAGTCTGATCACTAACGCCAGAATGCTTCATGGACAGCGGGTAACTTTCCTCCATTGCCTTATCATACAAGTTTATAAGGACAAGCACAGAAGTCTGAGACTCTCCTGGCCCCATTTCTTGTCATACTGCCACCCCCAGAGACAAAATCAGGAAAGCAACCTGGGATCTACTCCCAGGACCTGTCTGTCTGTCAGATCTCAGCTTTTATCCACCACACACAGACTTCCCTTGGGGGCTGGCTTGTCTGTCAGACGGAGCTTCATGGGAAAGGGCCCTGAGGACAGGTGAAGGGAAGCAGCTGGTGTGAACTAACAACCGGGCGGAAACCTGAAAGGCCGCTCGAATGTTCCGGAACTTTCATTATGTGATTCCAAATAGACACATTTATGACTCCCTTAAAAAAGGAGCAGAGGTGAAATGATGCACATTGAAAATGATGTTTGTTATAAAATACTCATGTTGTTAGGAAAGATAAATGTTTATGTCTTATCAGAAGCTACTTTTAGCTATAATTAAACATGCTGGATAGATTAAGAGAAAAGCTCAGCACCAGTGTCTATGTGGTAGGCATTTAGTTCATTAATCAGCTAATGGTAAATGAGAGACACTAATTTTCCTACCCAGTTTGTATTTCTCGAGGTGACACTGGGACACTTCAGCGTGCTCGTGGGACCAGCTCCGTCAGTAATTGAGTTTCAGGCTGTCCCTACTGTATGTCTTAAGGGCAAACAAATTGAAAGATACTCTAAGTGCCGAACAGGAAAAGGAAGCACCACGTGATTCTCTTTTTAGAGCAGGATGTGAAATGGCTTTTTCTCTTTGAAAGTCAATTGTGGCAGAGCCGTGCTTTTAAAACTATCTGTGGTCGTGGACAAGTTTTTTAAAATTTCCCAACCCTTGCAGACTGGCGCTTTTGTAAAATACAAAGAAAGTGTTGCACCGAGATCAAACTGCTGTGAAAGTTTTCAAACACTTCCTCAATTTCCGTTTGTGTTCATGAAGACTGGCAACTAAGAGTTCTCAGTGTCACACTGGTCTGCAGGGCACACTTCAGCAGGAGTTCCAGGCACGAACCAGTGGATTCCAAGGTTATTATTTGTCTGGGGTTTGGTGTAGGAGTGGAAGGGCAGTCCCTCCACCCTCCTCCCTCCATCCCTCCCTCCTTCCTTTCCTGTCCAAACAAGGCTGCTCTGGGGAGCTGCGCAGCGTGTGCCTGGCTCAATGCACTTGACTGAGGAAGTGTGCAGGCCTGGGATCTGCCCTTCCAGCCATGGCCCTTGAGGGAGGGGATGTCATCGCCCCTGTGGAAAGGGTATCTTTTTCTACCAACAAGGATCAGGTCATTGACCAAGTTCTGTACCAGTGGGGCCACCTTTTCCAGACTTGGGTGAAAAGGAATCAACAGAAACTTTATTTAAAATGGAGTCAGGAGGCAAGAAGAGAGAACTCATGTGTGTCACTCAAAGGCACACCGCTGACCTCAACAGGATGACAGGTAGGTACTTTGCATCTCCAACAGGAAGTGACACTACATTACTACCCAGCAGGGGTAAGAACTGATTCCTCCTCACCCAGTAACAGCTCAGTCAATGGGAGACTGCCGTAATTCAGCTGATGAAAAGTCACCGCAGTTCCAATACAGTTTCCTCCAATGGACCCTTCAATTACAAGTTCAAAAAAGAGTGTGCCTCCTTCGTTTCTCCGGACTTGCACATGGTTCACCATTAGAAGCATGTCCTGAATTGTAGTTCTTTGTGGTTCCCAAATAAACCCATTTTGCTGGAGAAGCATCTGGCTATTTGTGTGAGGCCAACACTTGTGTACAAGGCCTGCTGGGCAGAGGTCCTCGGGTCAGCTTGCATTTGCAGTAGGACGCTACTGATGTGGGAAGGCTTTCATGGATTTCTACGTTCTCCTAGCAGAAATCAGCAAGAATCTCATTTTTAGATCAGTCCTTTGTGCGTAACAAAACTCTTCATCACATTTTACCTTTTTACTGGATTTCAAGCTCCTGTGGGAAGGGATATGCGTCTTATGTCACTGTGATGATGACGATGTTCATACAGATAACAACTGAATTCTGAACTGCAAGGTCATGACAGCCAAGTTCAGCTGTTACTTAATAGAAACAAAGAATCTAAGAATGGGATTGATCTGGGACTTGAAGAGAGCAAGTTTTGGGATGTAGTCCTGGGGAGAGGAGCTTCCTGAAATTTGTGATATCCCGGCATATTCATCAAGTCAGTGAGACCTATGGAGTAGCTATAATAGATAGGAGAGGTCAAACCAACTTTTGCTGACATCGTATCTCTAGCGAGGTTAAAATTAACCAAGGACATTGAGTTCATCCAGAAGCAGGTTCTTAAACAAAGATGGCTCCCCAAAAACATTTACTGGGGTCATGGACTCCCAAGAAAGAACAGAAAAAAACCTTAAGATGTCCAGGGAACACACGTGCCATGTTCCACTGCCTGTGGAAGAGGACTGACCCTGGTCTGGATGCCACAGAGCCTCCCTGTGGGTCCCAGGTTGGAGACCACGGTGTAGGGTCAGGCCGGCATGACAAACAGAAAGCAAGGGCACAGGCAGCCTGAATCGGAAGGGCTATGGTAGGAACACTTGGGGCTGCCTCAGATAGATGTCAAAGTCAGAAGCAAGAACACACCCAAGGTGCACAGCTGAAATCAGGAAAAATGAAGTCCCAGAAAAGCTTATCACTAACACAGAGGAAAACACCCTTCGGCAGCAAGTAGGGGAGGTGGGGTTTCTTAAACAACAGGAAGCATGCGATGGATGGTCTCTTCTCCTCCAGACTGAATGAACCCAGACACATCCATCACTCCCTGGGTCCTGTCGGTCTTCACAACTCTGAAAGACAAACGCTGTGCTTGGCCTCTGCTGGCCTCAGACGGGGGGACTGAAGACAGGGCACAGGCTAAATGTCCACAGTAAGAAAGCTTTGGGCAAATCCATGAATTCCAGTTCCATGTGTGCACAGCAAATGCTTACAAGCTTAGGTTGCTGCTTTATGATTAGTATGAAATATTGCCTGAGCTTAAGTTAGTCTTGCCAGAAGTGCAAGAAATAAGTTTCTAACATACTTTAGATTCTATTCAAGCAGTTTAGGTTGTGGGGAGAGGGAAAACCACTTAGGTGCATTTGTTAGGGAGGATCCCACAGAGTGATGGGGTGGGAAGTACAGCCAGCCCCGGAAGTCGCTATGACCTAGAGAGCCAAGAATTAAGTTTCTCAGATGCGTCTCTCATGGTCCATGTGACCGATGGATCATGCTCAAGGTTTCCCGGCCTCACTCTACCTGTTCTCTCTCTCCTTTCCTCCCTTTGTTGCTGCCCACCTCTGTCCCCTACTCTTCATCCTCCTGGTACAGAAGGCAGCTCCTACCATGGAAG